TAAGCTATGTTAATTATGAAAAGGAAGAATGAAATCAGGTAAGTGACTACAAGTGGGTCTTGTAGATATCTCACAGTAAATGTTTCTTTAAAAAGTGATTCACTCTTTTCATGTGACTTACCTGGCAATGGCAAGTAAATATAATTAGATAATTTACATTTAATTGTAATCAACTGAATCAACTTGAGTTTCACTACAGAAGTTGAAATTCTCCAACAACTCTGCATGCAACTTCAAGAAATAAAAGACATTCCCAGAGGTGCTTAAATGGTCTGTCACTTACTATTCTAGTTCTGGTTGCCCAAATGAGATATATTCTGCCATTGGGTATGTGACCTGCGAGGAATAGCATATCCACAACCCTAGAAATTTGTTGTGGCTGTTCAATTGTTTCAGTCATGTCCCACTCTTCGTGACCCCACTTGGGGTTTTCTTGACAGAGATACTGGAGTGGTTTGCCATTTCCTTCTCCAGCTCATTTCACAAATGAGGAACAGAATTTTTTTTTTTTTTGCTTTTTTGGTGAGGCAATCGGGGTTAAGTGGCTTGCCCAGGGTCACATAGCTAGCAAGTGTTTGAGGCCAGATTTGAGCTCAGGAATATAGTCTTCCTGACTCAGACACTGCACCACATAACTGCAACCCTAGAGTTTAGACCAGTTCTAAGATCTAATTCAAACTCAAGTCCAACTCTATGAATGTACAATTGACTTTAGAAGTTCACAGTGGAGAACTGTAATGGTTTGTATATAGTACATACTTAATTAAATGTTTGTTGAATTGAAGGCATATTAGATTAGACTGAAAAATATATCTACATCAGTTTTCCATTTCAATTCAGCCTACACAGGAGCATTCTGGATTAAACAAGTACACAGGTAGTACTGTATGTCTGTTCTGTTTGATAAACTGAAGGAAGGGCTGTTCAAATTGGGAAATTTCCCAAACTATGTGTGAGTACAGATATCCTGCTGTCCATTGCTATCCAGGCCTGTGCTTCTAGCCTAAAATTTAGGGGTTCAGACTAACTTTTGACCCTCAACAAATTTGTATTTGTTGGCAGATGTCAAGACAGTCCAGTGTCACTTTGAATCACCAGTACCACATCATATCCCACATTGGCCATTTGTGAGATGATCTGATTCATGCCATCATGGTGTCACTTGGATCATTCAGCTTACTCCTTGGGATGCATACCTTGGGAAGCTTCTTAGCCAAGCCTACCATATTTAACAAACCACAATACTTCAGAGGACATTTTATAAGAAAGAGCATTTAATTAAATGGAACAAATAGCAGTAAAACTTTGGCAGTCTGGAGCCATCTGGGGATTCAGTTTTCTGTATGAGAGAGTGTTACAGGCAGCCAAGGGTTGTCCATTAAAGCAGCAAAACTTTTTAACCATTTTTGATAAAAAAAAAATTTCTAAAACATTAAATATGTTCTATTCATTAGAATTTAAGCACTTTATTCATATGGTAGTCATAATGAACATTCATTATTGTCTTGTGCTGTACTGCAATGATGTCCTCAAAATTTAAAGCTGTTGCTCTAAATCACTATTTATTAGAGAAATGCAAATCGAAACAATTCTGAGGTACCATATCACACCTATCAGATTGAATAACATGACAAAACAGGAAAATGATAAATTTTGGAGAAGATGTGGGAAAATTGGAACACTAATGTATTGTTGGTGGAGTTGTGAACTGATCCAACCATTTTGGAGAGCAATTTGGAACTATGCCCAAAGAGCTATAAAAATGTGCATACCTTTTGACCCGGCAATACCACTTCTGGGGCTATATCCCAAAGAGATCATAAAAATGGGAAAATGACCCACATGTACAAAAATATTTGTAGCAGCTCTTTCTGTGGTGGCAAAGAATTAGAAATTGAGGGGATGTCCATCAATTGGAGAATGGCTAAACAAGTTGTGGTATATGAATGTAATGGAATACTATTGTGCTATAAGAAATCATGAACAGGGAAAAGGGTGAGTCCATAGATAAAGTTAATTTAATGAGATCAGAGATACTGATCACACCTCTCCATCATCCTGTGAGACTCATTGTGTTACACTGAAACAGAAAAGGAGTTAGGGGACATCTCTCTTACTTGTCCCTGCCTCAGAGCACATAGCTCCCCTTCTAAGGGGTACTTGTAATATCCATGGAGTGATCTCATAGACAAGCATGGGTAGGCTGGGAGGAAGGGAAGGATTTTCCTAAGAGCATCTGGTAGTTGTAGCTGTGAGTAACCAGATAGTGATTAGGTTATAACTGTCTTGAGTGGTAGAAAGTTGTCAAGGCATGTGGTTGGTAGCTTGCACAATGAAGGGAAGAGGTTAGAATGGAGAAAGGATGGAAGGTAAGAGAATGTGTAGTTGTTAGAGATATACCCCATGACTGGCCATTTTAAAGAATATGGGATGCCACCATTCATCGCCCCCCCCCCCCCAGTTGGTTTATCACACACTGCTTGAGGTCAGGCCATGGACCACCAGGGGGCCTAAGCCAGTCAGTCAACAGTCAATTAAACAAGCATTTATTAAGTGCCTACTAAGTTCCTTAGACTAGTCTAAGCACTGTGGATACAAATATAAGTACAATGGCAATCCCTACACTCAAGGAGCTAACATTCTAGAGTGTGAAGGCAATACGTAAAGGGGAGCCAAAAATGGTTGAGGGGAAAAGCACATTCCTAGATGGCAGCATGGAGAATACATGTGGAGAATAAGAAATGGCTAGTCTGGAGTCCATCCCAAAAATGGAGTTTTCAGAAAGAACTCACCAGTAGGAGGAGAGCCAGGAAGTAGGTCAGGCAAAGTGGCCAAGTCCAGAGAATGATGATCTAGGGCATTTTTCCAAAGTGGAGAACTAAACAATAGGAGAAAGGGGAGGACTGCTAGAGTAGATTCAGGAGGCAGCTGAGGCATAGAGGTTTGGTCCAGAGAATGATGTATGGCTGGATTAGAGTGTTCCTCAAAATGGAAATTTGGTGAACAATTAACCAATAAGAGAAGGGGCCCTCAAGAGTCTTTGGAGATTACTGGTGTAACACTATGGTGTGTGAGAGTTGGCCACAGAGGGATAGCAGTTAACAAAACTGTATTTCTACTCATAAGAAAAGGAGAATAGATGCCAATAGGGAGTGTAGTCTGCCGCCTCCATTGCCTGTAATCCTTGAGTAGCATAGAGTGGGAGTAGGGGAATAGGGGAGAGGGTTCTACACATACACCACATAACAATGCCATAGTATCGATTCTCCCATCCCTCAGGACTCAAAACTTAAATAAAGTTTTAGGCAAAGAGCTTATGTGACACTAAAGGAAGATTGCCTCATCATTTATAGATGAAGATAGCCGTATATTTGGGAAGAGTGAAAAGAAGATATTTTCTAGATTTTTTTTTGTTTAGGCATTTGGGGTTAAGTGACTTGCCCAAGGTTACACAGCTAGCATGTGTCAAGTGTTTGGTCTGAGGCCACATTTGAACTCAGGTCCTCCTGACTTCAGGGCCGCTGCTCTATCCACTGTACCACCTAGCTGCCCCTGAGGGTGTTTTCTAAATTACCTAATAAGTAGTAGGGAGTAAGAGTAAGGGATTTTTTTTTTTTTTGGTGAGGCAATTGGGATTAAGTGACTTGCCCAGAGTCACACAGCTAGTGAGTGTTATGTGTCTGAGGCTGGATTTGAACTCAGGTCCTCCTAATTCTAGGGCCTGTGCTCTATCCACTGTGCCACCTAGCTAACCCAGTTAAAGGGAATTTAACTCTGTGCAGTTAGTGTTAGAGGCTGAGGGAGGGTGAGGTAATGCCTAGCGTTATAATATACATACTGAGGCCATGTCAGTTAAACTGGTTTTCATTGACTCACAAACACATAATAGAATTTAAACAAACTTTGGTAATGATTACTTTGTTGCACTTGTGCTTATATGGCAGAGACCTAGGTAAAGTTGCAAAGTGGATGTTTCTTGTCCTTAGGGCTATCTCATCTATCCTTTTGCATACTTCAGATACTTAAGTGGAAGTCAAAATCTTTATTCTGCTTTTGGCTAACACACTTCACACTTTAAAAAAAAAAAACAAAAAACAACCTACCACATTTGCATTTCATTTGAGTGCTTTAGAATTTAGATTCCATACCCCTCCCCAAAAAGAGCTTCCATTTCCTCTATAGTAATTTCAGCTACACTTTAGGAAAGCAATTTCATATAAAATAATTTAGACTGAGATGTGAATAACTAACAGATAAACTTAGATAAAACTATAATGTAAATGGAACATTTAACACAAGCAGATTTCCAAGTGATAAAATACATTTGAGACCTGTTTCTGAACAAGAGAACCCTTCCTGAATAGTTCTTGAGTATATTGGAAAGAGTGTTAGGTTCAAATCAAGGGAAAAAAATCTGGATTTGAATCCTAAAGATGATGTTTATGAGCTGTGTGACTATGTTTAAGCCACTTGATTTCTCTGCTTCTGTTTCCTTTTCTATTAAGTATTTTTTTTTAAATACTGCCTTAGCTCACAAAGTTTATGAGATAATAGATGTATAGGGCTTTGTAAATCTGAAACGTTCCACAAGTGTCAGCCGTTCTTTAGGATCACTCCCACCATGTTCTCACACCATTCCCCAATACACACGTGCATACCAGGAGACAAAAGATCAGAAACCTGACTCCCTGGTAGTGAAAAGTTATCCATTGTAGGTATAAAAGTTCTCTGGGGCATGCGATTTAACATTCAAGGGATTATTTTCCCCCAGATAGGGAGTTGCCTGTTCATTTGAACAGAAAATGGAGATCAAAAGTCTCCAGTATTTGATTCTGAGTAGAATTTATATTATAACCACATTAAACCATTAATTTTCTCTGTCTCTAGTTTGTTTATCTCAAACTGTGACTTGGGAAGATTATATATTTTGTAGCAGAACTAAAGCAACTTGAAGAAATAAGGCATCTGAGATAAACCATGTTTATGTTTTTCTTTTTCAGGTTTCATGTATTACATCTGAAGTGTGCTGTATTGTTAAAGCATCACCAAGAATCAGATGGATGAAGATGCCGTGTTGCCCTTCCAAAAGAGTGTCTAAAGGTAATGGAATCTAGGCAGAATACCCTTTTTAAATAGTATGTTTTTCATGATAAACAAAGATGAGTCAAACTTGTTTCCTTGTGGACATAATTACCTTCATCAGATAGATATGCACAGCACCTTGCTAAGTGCTTGGGAGATACAAAGATAATGAAGGTATAATCTTAATCCTTATAACCTAATAGATATATTACATACACAAATAACTCTAATACAGAATAGGCTGTGATAAATGTATAAAAGAAATAAAAATTACAATTTATGTAAGGGCCAAAGAGGGAAAATAATTACTGATGGTGGAGAGAAGGAAGATAGGAAATCAGTGTGTGTGTGTGTGTGTGTGTGTGTTTGTATGAAGGGAGGGGTTGCAATTAGGAGGAGGTGATCTTTGACCCAGCTTTTGAAATATGGGTATCCCTTCAACATTTGATGATGAAAGGGATGATGCTTCAGGCATTTGAATGTTGTAAGTAAACACATGGAGAAGGCAGAACAAAAGATGGGTACAGGAGTTAGTGAATGGGCCATCTTGGCTGAAATGTATTGTGCCACTCTCATCACTTGAGCAATGCCATATCCATAAAATAGTGCTATACTGAATCAGTTGATGAAAGCCATTAGAGTGTTTGTCACCACTGAGATAGATGTCAGTCAGATCATTTCTTACTGGGAAGGGGCCCTTCAGCCAGAATTGGTGATTTTAGATAGAAAGATTATGATATCAACAAGCACAGGCATTATTATTCCTTATGAAAATCATTACACATCTCTTGATTTAACTCAAACAAACAAAAAATCTAAATAGCAACCAGCAGTCCATCATCTAGCTCAAGAAACTTTTAGTGTATGTTTTAATGCATTGATTTTGAAAGTCCTTGGAGGATGGGATACTTGCAATGAACCTATGCTGTCAAAATTAAAATTAGGGAAAGTATTGTCAAATGATATACATGTTGATGGTCTATGATACTGTATAATGAAGCAAAGGCATTTCTAATGAACATAGTGCTTTGAGGTGTAGGGTGTGAATTAATTATAAAAGCCAGGTGGCACAGACATCTTCTTGAGTTCAAGTCTAGCCTCAGACATTTACCAGCTTTGTGACCCTGGGCAAGACAGATGACCCTGTTTACCTCAATCACCTCATCTATAAAATGAGCCAGAGAAGGAAATGGCAGACCACTCCAGTATCTTTGCCAAAAAATTTCCAAATGGGGTCACAAAGAGTCAGACATGTTTGAAATGATTGGATAACAATAACATTAATTATACAAATGAGTCAGTGTGTAATTGTATTGAGTGTGAAGCCAAAAAAAAAAGATAATTGTTATTCCTTATTGTATTTCTTATTATATTTTGTGGTATTTTTATATTTTTCTCATTAGATATTTCTAAAATTAGACTAAAAATACCAATGATATTTTATTGCTTAACAACATTGAAAAAAACTCCTTGATTTACTACCATTTTAGTTAATGTCTTTTCTAAAAATCTCCTTGTGTGTTACCGACAAATTACAATTTACTTAGGCCTTTATCATTGTTGTATACCTATATGTTGCTTTGTTTTTCAAATGTTTACTGAAGTAAGACTGAAAAGAGAAGTGGGACAAGCTAAGAAGTTTAGAACTAATCAGTGGGCAATAGGGAGCTATTGAAGGGCTTCAGGTAGGGGAATAACATGATTGGATCTTTTTTGTGTTTTTGTTTTTTTTTAAGTTAATAAAAATCTGTTTTCTGTCTTTCTACTTCCTGTTCAAAGTGGGGAGGGGGAGAAAGCAAAAGAAAATTCTCATAACAAACATATGCAGAGTTAAGCAAAACAAATTCCCCTATTAGCTACTTTGAAAAAATATTCCTCAGTCTGTATGCTAAATGCATCAACTCTGTTAGGAGATGGGTAGCATGTTTCATCATGGGTCCATTGGAATCATGGTTGGTTGTTGATATGTTCAGATTTCTTAAGACTTTCAAAGTTGTTTGTCTTTGCAGTGTATTCATTATACAAATTGTTCTTATTCTGCTTGCTTCTCTCTGTATCAGTTCATATAAGGATAAGTTCATATAAGGTTTTTGAAACCATCTCCTTACATCATTTCTTACAGCACAATAGTATTCCATGACATTCATGTGCCATAATTTATACAGACATTTTACAGTTGGTAGATTTTCTGAGATGTGGTTATTCAAATCCTTTGAGATTTGATGATTAGATTGCTTGAGTTCAGGAGTTCTGATTGTTTCTATGATTTGTTCTTTGACCCATTCATTCTTTAAGATTAGATTATTTAGTTTCCAATTAATTATTAATATATAATTCAAAGGCCTTTTATTGAATATAATTTTTATTGCTTTATGGTCCCAAAAGAGTGCATTTAATATTTCTTCTTTTCTGCATTTGTTTGTAAGATTTTTATGCTCTAACATATAATCAGTTTTTGTGAAGGTGCAATGCACAGCTGAGAAAAAAGGTATGTTCCTTTCTATTTTTTCTATTCCCTCCAGAAGTCTAGCATATCTAACCTTTCTAAAATTCTATTCATCTCCTTGACTTCTTTTTTATTTTATTGGTTAGATTTATCTAGTTCTGAGAAGGGAAAGTTGAGGTCCCCTACTGGTATAGTATTACTGTCTATTTCCTCCTATAACTCATTTAACTTTTCCTTCAAGAATTTGAATGTGATGCCATTTGGTGAATATATGTTACATATTGATATTGATTCATTATCTATGGTGCCTTTTAGCAAACCGTATTTTCCCTTTTTTAATTAGGTCTGTTTTGCTTTTACTTTGTCTGAGATTATAATAGCTACCTCTGCCTTTTTTACACAAGCATAATAGATTCTGCTGTAGCCCTTTATTTAACTCTCTGTGTGTCTTCTGTTTCAAGTATATTTCTTGTAAACCTTATATTGTTGGATTCCTATTTCTAATCCATTCTGATATTGTCTTTTATTTTATGGGTGAATTTTATGAGGCAGCTAAGTGGAGCCCACTATGCCCCTCTGTCTAAGTAGACTCTTAACTATCCTAATGATTATATTGTTCTTAGGGGTTACATGTATCATCTTCCCATTTGAGACTGAATCTCCCTATCTCAGCTGAGCAAGAAATAGAGTGGTTACTCACAAGTTCAATTTCAATACTAATTGGTGTAGAAGATTTAACCTGCTTCACTTTTCTAATCTAGGCCCTTTTGTACCCTTCTGGTGGCCCTCCAGTCCTAGCTTTCCATATTGGTGCCAGACTCAGTGTCGACATCTAATTGATTTGAGCCCTGTTGCAGCTCAGAACTCTTGAACTCAAGCAATCTATCAGTCTCAGCCTCCCCAGAAATGGGGACTACAGGCATGTACAACCACACCAGGGCTTGTATATGAATTTTTCCATCCTTTAACCCATTCAGGTGAAAGTGAAGTCCATGCATTACCCAATTCTTCCACCCTTTATTCCTTGCTTGTATAGTCTTCTACTTGTACACTTTGATTATGTGAGATCCTTCCTCTTTCTTTTCCCCTAGTGTATTCCTTTTCTCTTCCCTTCCCTTTCTTATTTTAAGGCCATCAAAACATAATAAATCCATTCCCAGACCTCCCATCTTGACTCCCTTTGTGACCTTTGATGATATTAGGGCTTTGAGGGGACTTTTGTATTATCTTCCCCCATTGGAATTTAAACACTTCATCCTTTTTTGGTCCCTTATGATTTGCTAGATTATATTTAACCTTTTTATGATTTATGTTTGTATTTTAGAGTTTCTATATGCCTCTTATCTTTTCGTGAGGAAGTTCTCTATTTCATTAAAGATCTATTTTTTCTCCCTGTTGGATTATACCCAGTTTTTCTGGTTAAATTATTCTTAGTCAGAAGCCTATATTTTTGCCTTTTATAATATCAAATTTTAAGCTTTTCATTCCTTTTTAGTTGTAGCTGGTAAATTTGGGGTGATTGTGCCTGTAATATCTTGGTACTTGAATTCTGTCCTTCTAGTTGCTTACAGTATTTTTTTCTTTGACCTGGAAGCTCAAGATTTTGACTCTCATGTTCCTATGATGGGATTATTTCTATTTTTACTTTGCTCTATTAGTCTTGTATATCTGAAAGTTTTCTTTTGATTTATTGAAATATGATGCTAAGTGATGGTATAATATAATGACCTATGGCTTTCTGGTAGTACAATGTAAATTTTTTCTCCTTGATTTATTTTCCAGATCAGTTGTTTCTGATATGAGATACCTCCTATTGTTTCAGTCTTTTGACTTTGTTTTAACATTTCTTGTTGTCTCATGTAGTCATTAACTTCTGAATGGTCTAGTCTAATTTTCAAGAAGTTTCTCGCTTGGGTAAGATTTTGTATCTCTTGTGCTAAACTGTTAATTCTCTTCCCAATTCTTTCCTCCATAACTTTGATTTCTTTTCCAAATTCTTTACCCTAATGCTCTCTTTTCATTTACAAAATAATAATTAACTCCTTTAAAAAAAAAAAACTTGCCTTCATTTCTTCCAGGAATCCTAGTTGAACCTAGGCCCAAGCTATGTTTTTCTTTTGAGACTTTGCAAGTGTTGTGGATCTCCAGACGAATTCAAATTGGAGACCTGCAAGCTTTCAGTATTCACAAAGTGGTCTAATAAGGGAAAAGTATGATCACTGCCTTCCTTATCTGAGTTTTACAAGCTCTTCGCTTGGATTTACATCACAACTACAGGCTTTCTTCTGCATGAAGTCCCAGTAGACTGCTACAGTACTGAACTATCAGCTAGCTGAAGGTTCTGCAGGTTCAGATTGACAGAACTGCAGTATACCCTTGGTCTGAGCCTCTTGTCCTGGTAACCTAGTTCTGGTGTATAAGCAACAGAGCTGTTATTTGGTACCTATTTCTGTTCCCTGTTTCAACTCAGCCCTTTCTGTGCTAGATCTTCTGGGACTTCATCTTGCCCTTCTGCACAGCCCCAGGCCCAAGTTTAGTCTCAGAACTATAAGGCTCCACATAGCACCCTACT